TACACCACACGAAACTGTCGATATTTATTGCTTTTACATTTAAAATGAGCAATTGGGAATAATTCAGACTAATACTTGCAAACAAGAAAATGGTATTGATCCAGGTTGGGACCAAGCTCATCTTCAGACAAAAAGCACGGTCATATAGTGAAGAGTGGACACGAAGAGAGCCCGAAGAAGGTAGAATTATCAAAAAGACGGTTGAAGCACATTTATCTATTCCTAGTTTTGAACGTCGCTGCAAATACGTAGGTGATGACCTCTGACAGAATGATGGCATCACTAACGACTACTTCTCTTCCTCTTTATACCGACCTCTGGCGTTGGGGCCATCTCGGGGATGGGGCGCCCCGGGTACCCTCCCCGGGGCCTGCGGCAGAGATGGCCTGTGCTCTGCTGCCATCTCGTGGGCACGCGCTGTATACACACCTCTGGGACCCGCGTAAGGAAAGGAGCGGGGAAACAAGGAACGTTTTAGAATCAAAGAACCAAACTACAAAAGACTCTTGAGTTCTCGTGACCATCTCCCCTACCGCCGTGTGCGTGGAAAGCCTCACGACTCAATCCAGATTCCCTTCGGGCCACGGGAACTCAGAGGAGCTGTTGGTTCCTCTGTAACCTGTTGATGACCTCCCAGCACGTGCTGAGCCGCACACCCCTCCCCACCCCCAAGGTCCGCAAACATCTAGGTTAGTAATCACGAGTCGCTGTGCGTATTTTCCGAGCCCCAAAACCTGCTTTCCTTCCGTCGCTTATTCCATGCATAGCTGTAAAGGTCTCACAAGACAGTCATTCCTTGTTTTTTTTGTTGTTGTTTTGTTTTGTTTCTTAATCACACTGACTCGTCTATCTTTCGTGGTAATTATCACGCTGGCTGTTTTTCGTTTGGTTTGTTTTTTGTGAGGTGTTTGTTTGTTTGGTTGGTTGGTTGGTTAGTTGGTTGGTTGGTTTGGTTTCTAGCTCTATATTTACACAAATGTGTGGCATGTACAGGGCGGATCCGTGCGTGCTTCTCAGCGCCCCCTGGTGGTGACATCTTACAAAAGTCACAGTCCATGTGTGACCCCACCCAAGATAACGGATAGGCGTCTGATCCACAGCATCTATTTAGATATCATCAGTTTCTGTGAACATATTTGTGCGTGTGCAGATTGTTTTTTATGTGCTCAGTCGTCTTAGAATCTTTGGATTTAACATCATGCCTAGCAAACCGATTCCTTATGTGTTGGTGAGGGAAGGCAGAGGGGGGGGGGGGAAAGGATGAAGAGAGGAGAGGGAAAGACTTCTGTAAATAAAATAATTAAAACCATTGATAGCTAAGAGTGTCGCTAACCAGGCCGAGCTCCGGGAGTCCAATCGAAGAGAGGGAAGAGGGATTCTTTGAGCAAGGCGGGTCAAGATCATAATGGGGAAATCTACAATCCAACCAAACCAGGGGGAATGCATGAACTTTAGACCAACACCTGCGGAACCTCCATGGGACTGGACTGGGCCCTCTGCATAAGTGAGACAGATGTGTGGCTTGGTCTGCTTAAGGGGCTCCTGGCAGTGGGATCAGGATCCATCCCTGTACATGAGCTGGATTTTTGGAGCCCGTTACCTACGATGGGACACCTTGTACAGCCTTGATGCAGGGGGAGGGGCTTGGATCTGCCTCAAATGACTGTACCAGGCTCTGCTGACTCCCCATGGGAGGCCTTACCCTTTTGAAGGAGGGGATGGGGGATAGGTGGAGGAGGGAAGGCTGGTGGGAAGCGGGAGGAGAGATAAGAGGGGGATCTGTGGTTGATATGTAAAATGAATTTTAAAATTTCTTAATTAAATAAAAGAGTGGTGCTAAATTAGATTTTCTCTGTGTGATAGATCAATGTTGAAAGCCAGCTTTTCGCTCAGAGCTGAAATAATGATTTTTTTTTCCAAATTATCACCCAATACCTCATTCAATATCCTAATCTCTGATACATAAATGACTTCCATACAAATTACAAAAGCTCTTAAATCTCACAACTGCTTTTTGGGTCCTGATGAGGCCCTGGCAGAGGGCTGGATTTGGGGGGGGGGGTTGTTTTGTTTTTGTTTTCTATTCCCAATTGTACTGAAGGCCTGTTTTTCATTACACAGACTTTACTCCCATCTCACAGACAGCACTGGCTCTTTAAGACATATTATAGAAGCCAGGTGTGGTGAGGCTTACCTATAATTCCACCTCTCAGGAAGCCAAAGCAGGAGGATAGTGAGTTCGAGTCCGACCTGGGCTACGCATAGTAAGTATCTGTCCCCAAAATAAGAAATATCATTCTGATTGATAATTTTTATGGTTCTGGAATAGCAAACCTTTCTTTTTACTATTACCCGTTGTTATAGAATATTTACTTGTAACAAACACTAAAGAATATGAAAAGGAAATCAAATCACCTATCATTTCGCCCACTGATAATGCAGTGCTGATATTTTGAAGCACCCTTTTGATTTCCGTCCTTTCTATGTCTAGTTTTATACATACAAGGAGGCAGCCAAACAGCGAGAGAATATGTTACTCCCTTTGAGATCGAATTATACTCAAAATCTCATAGATTCTCAGCAGTTTTGAGTAGTATATCTTTTTCTTTTAAAATTAATCTTGAAGAATTATCTCACTTATAAAATATGTTTCTAATGTTTGTTAAGTATTCCACCACTTTCGTATGTTGTTGATACATCAGCCCCTCCTTTCTCCCTATCATGTAAACCTGTAGAAAATATTTTATGAATATTGGATCAAAGTTTCTTCATGTAAGCCTATACTGATGAATTCTATTTCAAAAAATGTATTTGGCTCAAAGATTTCCAAAGTGTGTTTAACCTAGATGCAGTACTGAAGATAGTCCAGTGAAACACAACTAATGAGGTCCTGTTTTGTGGGCTAACAGACTGGATTAAAGATTTAAGGGGAGCCTGGAGAGAGGGCTCGGAGGTTAAGAGCACTGGCTGTTCTTCCAGAGGTCCTGAGTTCAATTCCCAACAACCATCTATAATGAGATCTGGTGCCCTCTTCTGGCATGCAGGCATACATGCAGGCAGAACACTGCATATGTAATTATTTATTTAATAAATCTTTTTTAAAAAGTATTTAAGTGGGAAAAGTCACAGTGGTGCCTTATGGCGATGAATACGTAGGATGTCTTCGGTATTACAATGCTGTAGGTGGCTGCCAGCAGAAAGCCTCTTGAGGTTCACTGTCCACAGACTCCATTTGAGCCCAGACCTATTGGTTGGCATTGGTGTCAACCACTCAACAGGACATTTGTACCACCCTTTGTGGTGTGAAAGAGGATGGGAGGATGGCCCCCACAGGCTCATATGTTTGAATATTTGGCCCCCGATTGGTAGAACTATTTGGGAAGGAGTAGGAGGTGTGGCTTTATTGGAGGAGGTGTGCCACGGGGGGTGGGTGGGGAGCTTTTAGGGTTCAGAGGTCCATGCCACTCCCAGTTGTCTCTCTCCACCTCATACTTGTGGATCAAGTAAGCGCTCAGCCCCAGCGCCCAGCCTGCCTGCTGCCATGTTTCCCTTTATAATGATATCCAAACTATAAACCCCAATAACCTCTTTCTTCTGATAGGTTGGCTTGGCCGTGGTGTCTTATCATAGGAATGGAAAAGTAACTAAGATAAACTTACTCATCGGAATTGTTTTTTAAACAAAAGTCCGTGTTCATAGAGGTATGACGCTTTAAGAAGCCTTCATACACATGCCTCGGGATGCTGCCTCCAGAGAGACAGACTGGTCATATGCTCACTCTCCAGGCATCAGTTGAGATATGGGAGGGCTGTGGTTGACCTATTCCTGCTTCCCGCTAATCCTAGCCATCACCTCACTTGACCTCTACCCCTCTCATGAGTCCTGTGCATGGCAGAGCAGCCCTCAGCAGCTTTGGAGAAAGCTGCCAAGTAAGGAGACATGGAAGAGGCTTTGGGCGGAATTCGGTTCTCACCACCTCATGCCAAGGCTCAGGAACAGGGGTGGGTTGTCAGCAAGCCCTGCTGCTCTCAGATCCTATCTGCTACTGGGTGATGCATACTCACAGGGTACCCTGTACTGCGCTGAGCAATGCAGCCTGTAACAGTGGGGTGAATACAAGCTTTGTGGCCACGTGACCCTGGATTCAAACCTGACTCAGGCAGGCATCAACATATCTGAGGTTAGAAGATACATCAGATTTCAAAGTTTGAGTCTTCCTTCCTCTGGGGGGGGGAACCCCACTATTCATATCTTCCTTGATTTCTCATTGTTTGGAACCTTACAAGTACTCAAGATTATACCTATTATTCTTATTTAATTATTTCTGCCAAGGTTTGAATTTCTTGTGGCATAATCCCTCAGCAAGAAAATCTCACAGGCTATTGGGTCTCAGTCATAATGAATATCAGGGTAAGAACAAAGGAAATTAGGTCAGCAAAATGTCAGTGGCAACTGCTTGTGTCTAGGAGTGCCAGCTGCAGCAGGTTGGAGCATCATTCTGAGGAAGTCCTGGAGGACAGCCTGACAAGATTAACCTGGTGATGTAGAAGACACAAGACCAGTCTTGGAAATTTTCCACTTGTTACATTTAAAGAAGAACTGCTGGCCTGTGTGTATGTGATTGAATTTAAGAAATTCTACAGGGCCCACAATAGGCTGAATGACAACCCGCATAAGGACATGTCCTGGCCTCCAGAACCAGCAAATGTGGCCTTAACTTGAATAAAGACTCTTTGGATGTAACTAAGTCAAGGGCTTTGAGAGATGCAGCCTTGTCCTAGCCTGATGAGCTGTAAACTCCATGACAAATGTCATCATAAAGAGACAGAGTGGGAGAGGCAGATGGGGCTAGAGGAATGTATGAAGACGGACACAGATATCACACATTCACAAGGAACATCTTTCAGCAAGGGGGCGGTGTCACTGCGAGTTCGGAGGTTCCTTTAAGCCACCAAATTTGAGAAAAATCTGTTCAAACAGACTGAGGGAAGTAATCAATATCAAAGAGCAAATGAAATGATATTCAGTTCCAAGACAGCGTATGGTTTCATCCAGACCCGCGCGATGGAAACCAAGAGGGTGGAAGAGCAAGCGGCAACACGCCAGAGTGTAATTTGAGTGAAGCGCCTCCAGGGGGCAGCAGCCATTCTTTTTCAGTGCGGCGTCACCAGCATACAATACCATGTGTGGCACATTGTAGATGCCAAAGCGCTGATGCAAATGAACGCAGAAAATAGAGAGCTGAATAAATGAGTCAGGAGATGAATCTGGAACTCGTGTGTCACCCTCATGGCAAATGTAGCCATTAGTCATCATTTTTACCCATAAGCATAGCTCAGTACCTCATATGTGCATGGCAGTCAAAATGCTAGGGGGAAAAACAGCCCAAATATTCAGGTATTTCCCCAAATTTTATCACAGTAATGTGGCAATTATAACATGTCACTACAGGGAAAACAAAGTTCTCAAGTACCCTGGTCATTAATTGTGTGCATTTTCTAGACAAGAAACTCCAAGTTTAACTCAAAAGTCACCAGCAAATCAGTGGAAGATGGAAGATTACAGTTTTGAGCTACTAAATGCTCCTTGTGTCAGGTCTTTCTTGTTGGACTTTCTTTGAACCACCAGCCCCCAAATAATGACATGGAGACTTATTATTAATTATGAAAGCTTGGCCTTAGAACTTAAATTAACCCATCCCTATTCCTCTGTATTTTGCCACATGGCTTTTTACGTCTTCTCCATTCTGTATGTCCAACTTGTTTTGCATCTCCATGGTGTCACTACCTCTCTTCTTCCCAGAGTTCCTCTCTCTGCCCGGAAGTCCCGCCTCACCTCTCCTGCCAGCTATTGGCCACTCGGCTCTTTATTAAACCAATCAAATGCCTGCATAAGGTAAAACAGCAGCACATCTTCACACAGTTTGTTCAAATACCTGCAACATCTCCCCCTATATTTGATGAAGGAGAGTCCTCAGTTGAGACCCATCTTCCCAGGTGTGTCAAGTTGACAACCAAGATTTGCCATCAGAAGATTCAACACGAGAATTCCGACAAAGGCACATATGGAGCCATCTTCATGAATGTGAGCATCCATAGCTCCCACAAGCCAGCCTGAAACACATCTTGACTCAGTTATTTTATTTTCACCTCAACCTTTTTGTTCTATGTTTTAGAAGCTGCCCAGGCTTTATTACCCCCAAAATCCTCCCTCTCCTGGGTAAATAAACACCAACACTAAGAATACTTAAGATGCTTAGACCTTGAAGCTGTGAGATAGGATAGTGAATAAAATGCTCGCCACACAAGCATGAGGCCCTGAGTTCAGATCCTTGGAACTCACATTTAAAAGTCCAGCATGGTAGCGTGCTGCTAAAATCCCAGTACGGGGTGGACACGGGATAAGCCAGTCTATCTAGCAAACCAGCAAGCTCCAGGTTTAGTGAGGGACCCTGTCCCCAAAAATAAGATGGAGAGAAGTAGAGGAAGACACATAGGCCTGGCTGCTGACGTCCTTACGCATACACACATGTGTTCACCCACTTGAGTAACACACACACACACACACACACACACACACACACACACACACACATTCCCTTTGCTTCTCTTGCTGGGACTGTACTTTTCAAGCGTTTTGGTCCTGGGAGTCCTTTCACTGTAAACTGTGCTTTAACACATCTTTCATCCCAGTCTAATAAACTCGAATTTACGCTTTTAAGAGCATTGCACCTTTTGCTATACTTTCCTCTAGCAGCTGGAAACAAGGACCACACGTGTGTGCCTTACAGAAGCTCATTACTGTGAAGTGTTGGCCATCAGAAGGTCAAGAAGGGTCAGCAGGTGCTTCTCTTTGGGGGGACCACAAACCAGCAGCACCTCTAGCTGAGCTGTGCAATACCCGTTCATCTATTTCACGGCCCTTTCTGTGGAGCTGCACACACGTGCTTGCACCTTCTCCCAATGTCCCATGCTATTGAAACTCATCTGCAGGGCCAGAAATGTGGAGTGGTGCAGTCCTGTAATCCCAGTCCTTGGGAAGCAGAGGCAGGAGTTTCAGACATTAAAGGTCATCTCTGGCTACATAAGGGGTTTGATGCCAATCTGGGCTACGTGCAAACCTACCACTGCCCCCCAAAACCCCTCACTATCCGGTGCAGAGCTCCTGTCTCAGGTTAAGGATGCTGCGTTTTCTTTCTGTTCTCATTTCAGCAGTTGGACGAGCCAGAATCTTTTCCCTTTGGGATGTGTTTAGACCATTTGATCGTGTGGCAGCTAGAAGTTGGCAATGCCTCTATTTCCTGGGTGTCTTCTGTCAGCTGGCACCATGTTAGCATGTCCAACGTTTTGTCTCCTTCAGTCTTCACAGCAAAACGTTGCCAAGCAGCTTTCATTGTCTTCCACCTACAGCGACAAGGGAAACATACAGAGAAGTCACTTGGTTTCCAGTACACGGTGGTAAGAATGCAGTTTTCTGGCCTGGGAAGAGGAACACTTCCCAGCTCCACAGTTCACTTCTCCAGGGACAACTCCCTCCACACTCAACACCGGCATGACTTATTTCAGAAAAATAAAGATCCAAATAACTGTGCTGCTTGCTTCCAGAATGTTCTGAGACTCCATTCATCTAAATGGTGGGCTCTGACTACTCAAAACAATGAGGGGTCCTCTTCAGAACTCTTGATGGCCATGCTTTCTCTTCAAGACTCACTTCCAAACACTACCTCACTGATACATCAACCTACGTCACTATATCCCAGTGTGTGTAACATGAATCTTAAAAGGTCTTATCAATTAAAAAACAAAAAACAAAAAACCTGGAGCCAGATATCAGGGTGAAGGCTGAAAGATCAGAGAAACAAAACAAGCCAGCCATGTTCCTACCTCTGCGAAACCCTCAGCCTCAAGGGTATGAGTTCCTGTTTCCTCATGTCTTATATACCTTTCTGTGTCCTGTCATATTACTTCCTGGGATTAAAGGCATGTGTCCCAAGCAAAGACATGAGATCTCAAGTCCTGGGATTAAAGGTGTGTGCCACCACTGCCTGGTTCTGTTTCCAGTGTGGCCTTGAACTCACAGAGATTCAGACAGATCTCTGCCTCCCAAGTGATAGGATTAAGGGTGTGTGCCATTACTGTCTGGTCTCTGTGTCTAATCTAGTGGCTGGCTCTGTCCTCTGATCCCCAGATAAGTTTATTGGGGTACACAATATATTATGTATATAATATGTTGGTGTACACAATATATCACCACAAGTGTGTCCATTCTAAGACCCCTAAAACATTACAAATAAGTTGCCTCAGTACAACACCTTCCATTGTATGACAATACTCTCATGGTTTGAATGTGAACACAGAGTCCTTGTTTGAACAGTTGGTCCCCAACTGATGGCATTCTTTGGGGGAGGTTGTGGGACCTTTAGAATGTATCACCTTATTAAAGGAAGTAGGTCCCCAGGGCTGGGCCTTGAGATTTTATAGCCCAATTCTGTTTCTATTCACCTTCTACTTCCCGGTTTCGGATGTCATGTGACCAGCGGCCTCATGCCGGTGTCATTCTGCTTCTCCACCACAATGTGCTGTGTCCCCTGAGACTGGGACACCCAACAAACACTTCTTAAATGGCTTCAATCGGGTACTTTTTGTCACAACAATAAAAGTCACCAGTGCCACGCTGACACTCTGATTATGGGGTGGAAGAGCGATCTTACTCCAGAAAGCAAGGAATACAGATTTGATTGATTGATTGATCAGAAGGTATACTTCAGCAGTCTCCTCTCTAAAGACTCACAGGCATCCTTGGTTTCTCATGTTCCAGGTGTATTGTCCTGATACACATCCATAATCTCTCCAGATCCCTTGAGCAAGTAAATCTTCATAAGTGCCTGTGGGCCACAAAGCAGTCACCCACCTGTAAGTGCATCTCTGGGACTCCTGCCTTAAGTCAGTCTGCTTCTGGTTGAGACCCAGAAGTGACCGTCCTGGGCTGGTTCTGATCTCTGGAGGCCTTGTCAGTAGCCATCACACACGTGGACACAGTGGAGGTAAAGAACAAGAGATAAACAATGGCCGATTCTCTAGATATTCCCACCAGAAGTGTGTGTGTATCCCAAGTATGTGCTTCTACAAGTTATGATTTTATGACCAACTTTTCAATCCTCATTATCAACCTGACTGAAATTTAGACTCACCTAGGAAGCTCACTTCTGGGTATGTCTATTAGGACCTTTTCAGAGAGGCATAACTCCAGGGAGACCCACCCTGAATGTGGCTGACACCATTCCCTGGGCTGGAGTCCCTGACTGATTAAGAAGGAAAAGCAAGCGTAAGGCCAGCATTCATTGCTCTGTGTTTCCTGAGTGTGGATACCGTGTGCCAGCTGCCTCAAGTCCCTGCCTTCACAGTCAGAGGCCTCTGCTACACTTTTCCTCACAGTAATGAATTACACCCTCAAATAATGAACCACAATAAACCTTTCTTTCCATTAGCTGATTTCACCTGGTGTTTTGTTATGGCAATGGGAAAAGTAGCCCATACAAACTCCCTCAATGAATCAACACAAAAAAGCAAACCTTACAAAAATCTTAAGATTTCTCTTTTTTAAGCTTTATTATTATTATTTTTTGTGCATTAATGTTTTGTCTGTGTTCATGCCTAGTGCCTAAAGAGAGCCTGGGTCTAGACGTGTAGACAGTTGTAAACAGCCCTGTGGGTGCTGGGAATCATACCCGGGTCCTCTGGAAGAGCAGCTACTGTTTTAACCACTGAGACATCTCTCCAGCCCTCAAAATTCTTAGTCCTGTCAGATACCTGTCATGTTCTGTTATATCTCTGACACTTATCTTTGTCATTTCTAAGACCACAAGATAGAAAAACTCAAATTGGGCCGTTGCAGAGGACAGATGTGCGGTCTGTTGAAGACTTTCTTTGGTACATTCAATGTCACTTGCCCCATCAAAGTGATTATCTTGGAAATCATCGTTTCCTGACTCCTCCCCCATCCCTCGGTCTCTCTCATTCAATGTTTCATGTTATAGAAAGGGTACAGATTCTACCCTAAAGTCCTCTGTTGGCCACTCATCTCACCCAAATAAATCCTGTGTTGCCCATGAGCAAACAACTCCACGTCTCTGAGCCTCAGTTTTCCTGCCCGGAAAGCTAGAATGTGATTCACTGTTCAGAGAACAACTGCAATGTGGCAGGAAGTTCCCAGCATGCACCACAACGTTCGATCCCACCCCATGTCTTCCTCTCTCCATGAGGAGGATCCAGGAAAGGAGGCTTCAGAAGCAGGAGAAGTAGATCAGGAAGAGCGTAGAGGACATTGTTCAGAATAGTCTACAGGAAAATGGATATTGGGCTCAATTAACTGAAAATGGAGGCCTGGACCCCCTCCCTCTGTTGAATGTCCTCCCTCATCTCCACGTCATTTCTCTCAAGCCTGAGTTCTCATCAGAGTGACTTCTGGGACTGGAAGCCTTCCACTGTTCCAAGTCCAGTGGGAGTGATCCAAATATTACATGAGATGTATTTATTAAAAAGTATGTGCTGTTTTCATAGTTGTTGAAATGGAAAACGTAACTGAGTATAGCATATGTTCACTATGTCTACTTTTCCCAGAGCAAGCTGATACTACTTTTAATCGAAGGGAAGAGAATGCACACAAGGCTACACACACACGGAAGGAAGGAAGGAAGGAAGGAAGGAAGGAAGGAAGGAAGGAAGGAAGGA